CAGTGTTCTTTAAACTGTTAGCAGAGAAATTATGGGTGGATGAAGTTTGACCAATAAAGTTTTTTACTTTTATTTTTTTGAGACAGAGTCTCACTCCGTTGCCTCGGCTAGAGTGCCGTGGCGTCAGCCTAGCTCACAGCAACCTCAAACTCCTGGCTCAAGTGATCCTCCTGCCTCAGCCTCCCGAGTAGCTGGGGAACTACAGGCATGCACCACGACGCCTGGCTAATTTTTGTATTTTTTGTAGAGACAGGGTCTCACTCTTGCTCAGTAAATTTTTTTTTAAATAACAACTTTATTGAGATGTAATTCACATAACATAAAATTCACCTCTTTTCTTTTTTTTTTTTGAGTCTTCCAACAGTTTATTAGAAAGAATGTAGACATTTAAAACAATCCTCACTGTCATGAACATAAATTGAGGTTTTCAGCCCTGATATAAGCTGAATCAAAAAAAAAAAGAAATAAAAAACCCAATAGTGTATTAACATTTTTTCACTCATTTGCCATACTGACAGCGCAAATACAAATCTGGTCTAAATGTACGGATTCTCAAGCAACGACGTACAGCTTTCTTCGCCCTCCATGCTAAGAGATGTAAAAGCTTAAGGGCCAAACATTACCAAATGTATAGGCTTCAAAAACCGTCTAAGTTAGGGCATTCACTAGTTTTAGCTAAGATACATCTGGAACACTGGCAAGTGATTACTTACATACAATAATGTAAAGTAAATTTTTTGAAAAATAAACTTTAGTGGAACAATCCTGAAGGACAAAATTCACCTTTTTAAAGTATACAATTCAATGTTTTTAGTGTATTCATAAAGTTACACAACCCTTACCATTATCTAATTCTAGAACATTTTTATCCCCTCAAATAGAAACCCTGTATTCATTAACAACCTCTCCCTATTCCTTTTCTTCTCGGCCGGTGGCAACCACTAATCTACTTACTGTCTTTATGAATTTGCTTGTTCTGGACATTTAATATAAATGGAAACATACAACGTGTAGCCCTTTGTGTCTGGCTTCTTTCACTTGCCATGGTTTCAAGGTCCATCCCAGTTCTAGCACGTCTCAGTACTTCATTCCTTCCCCTCCCTCCCCCGGAAGTGTTAAGCAAATATTATTTTATAGCCAGTTACTTTCATTTCACAAATTTTTTTTGCCATTTCTATTAATACCTGTTATTTTTATTATTTCTAGAGAGACAATCATTGTACTTTTTAGCCTTTCTAGTTGGATAATTGAGGGGTGGTGGTGGAGGGCAAACTATCACTTGTCCACTTCAGAAACATATTTGGTGGGTTGAATTACTAATAAAAAATACTTTGGAAATATAATACAAAATATTACAAATTCTGTAATTATAACTGAAAAGTATTTTATTGTCTTTAGAATAAGAGAAGTGTGATGGTATTTCATATGCTTTTCTATTCTCCCAGTCTAAGTTTAGGTAAGTGAAACTTAAATAAAAAGACTCCCATGGATTTAAGGAAAATCTGCCATCATAGTAATTTTTCCCCACTGGAAAACTAATTGAAATGATTCAGAATACATTTTCCAACAGAATCTTTCAGATGTACAATTCCTTCCAAATACTAGTCTCATCCATTTCTACCAATCATACAAGTATAGAGAAATACAATAGCATAGTTAAAAAAAAGAAACCAATACTAGGTCAGTAGACATTACTTCAATACAAGGCCCATTATTTGCCAACAGCAGAAATATGCAGTCTCTGTAGCATTCTGAGCCCTCTCCGAAGTTTATCGAGCAAGGAATTAGGAAGACTATAAAGGAGGAACTGATACAGTCATGACAGGAAACGATTAAGACATAAATAAGAATTTCTACTGAGCCAGGTCAAAGTAAGAACACATTTAAGAAATATCCTAAAGGTGAGAAAAATAAATGCATAATGAAGTAAGGGGCGGAAGCAGATTAATTGCTTTTTACAGCTAAATAGTATTTCAGTGTATGGATATACCACGTTTTATTTATCCATTCATCAGTTGATGGGTATTGGGGTGGTTTCCACTTTTTTGGCTGTTGTGCATAATGCTCCCATTAACGTTCATGTGCATACAAATTTTGTGTGGACATATGTTTAGTGGAATTAGAGTCATATGGTAACTCTGTGTGTAACTTCCAGGCTAATTTCCAGAGTGGCTTTGTGATTTTACATTCTCACCAGCAGTGAGCACTGCAATTTCTGTACATCCCTGCCAATGCTTCTTGTGTTTTTTTTTTTTTTTTGAGACAGTCTCGCTTTGTTGCCCGGGCTAGAGTGAGTGTCGTGGCATCAGCCTAGCTCACAGCAACCTCAAACTCCTGGGCTCAAGCAATCCTTCTGTCTCAGCCTCCCGAGTAGCTGGGACTACAGGCATGCGCCACCATGCCCGGCTAATTTTTTCTATATATATATTTTTAGTTGTCCAGATCATTTCTTTCTATTTTTTAGTAGAGACGGGGGTCTCGCTCTTGCTCAGGCTGGTCTCCAACTCCTGACCTTGAGCGATCCACCCGCCTTGGCCTCCCAGATTGCTAGGATTACAGGCGTGAGCCACCGCGCCCGGCCCTTGTTGTGTTTTTGATCATAGCCATTCTAGTGGATGTGAAGTGGTATCTCATTGTGGGTTTCATTTGCAGTTCCCTAATGATTAATGATGTTGAGCGTCTTTTCATGTACTTATTGATTGATGGCATATCTTCTTTTGGAGGAATGTCTATTCAAATTCTTTGCTTATTTTTTAATTAGGTTACTTCATTGTTGAATTATGAGATGTCTTTACATTCTGAACACCAGTCCCTTATCAGATATTTGATTTACAAATATTTTCTTCCATTCTGTGGGTTGAGTTTTCACTGTCCTGATGGTGTTCTTTACAGCACAAAGTTTTTAATTTTGATAAGTCTAATTTATTTTTGCTTTTGCTACTTGGGCTTTTGGTGTCATATCTAAGAAACCATTGCCTAATCCAAGGTCACAAAGATTAATTACTTTGTTTTGTTCTCAGAGTGTTACAGTTTTAACTCTTTCATGACCACTAAATTCTTGTACTGACTGAGGCTTAGAGGCTCCTGTGAGCTGTTTGCTATGGGTGGGAGGTTGGGGTGCTCTTGTCCTGGAGCTTCCTTTCCTTGTCACCTTGACAAGTCAAGCAAGGACCTTGACAAGTCAAGCAAGGACCTTGACCCTGGGAAGCACTTGTTCTTCTTGTAAGTGTTTCTAGCTATTTTGCAGTTTCTGTATTTCATTGTCTTTTATTTATTTTTTTAAAGGTAACAAACGAAGAGGACTTTATTAGAAAGTTGGACTGCAAACCTGATCAGCATCTGAAGGTGGTTTCCATTTTTGGAAATACTGGTGATGGAAAGTCTCATACTCTCAACCATACTTTCTTTTACGGCCGTGAAGTCTTCAAAACCTCCCCTGCCCAGGAGTCCTGCACTGTGGGAGTGTGGGCAGCCTACGACCCAGTCCACAAAGTAGCAGTGATAGACACGGAAGGGCTCTTGGGGGCTACCGTGAATCTAAGCCAGAGAACACGGCTGCTACTTAAGGTCCTGGCCATCTCAGACCTGGTCATCTATCGAACTCATGCAGACCGGCTGCATAATGACCTCTTCAAATTCCTTGGGGACGCCTCAGAGGCTTATCTGAAGCACTTTACCAAGGAGCTCAAGGCTACCACTGCCCGCTGTGGCCTGGATGTCCCTTTATCCACTCTGGGTCCTGCAGTTATCATTTTCCATGAGACTGTGCACACTCAACTCTTGGGCACTGGTGAGTAGATGGGGTACTACATCACACATTGACCTTTCTGGATACAGGGAGGCAGCCATTGGATTGCAATAGCAACTTGGTGGTGGTAGATGGCCCAGAAAAATTTCTGCCCAGGCAAGACATAAAGAAGTGTTTTGAAGAAGGATGAAGTGATTAACTGTGTCAAAATCTGCTTATAGGCCAAGTAGCATAAGGATTGAGAATTTCCAATTGGCTTTGGCAATATAGATGTCCTTGTTGATCTGGGTAAAGGCTGTTTCCCTAAGGTGGTGGGCATGAGAGCTTAATCGGAGTGAGATCAAGAGAAAACAGGAACCCATGAACAATGGCTTGCTTGTAATTCCAGTTACTTGGGAGGCTGAGGCAGGAAGATTGCTTGAGTTCAAGGCCAGGAGTTCAAGGCCAGCCTGGGCAACATAGTGAAATCCCATCTCTAAAAAATTAAAAAAAAAAAAAAATTTAAGGTGTGAGATATTACACATATTTGTGTACTGGTGGGAATGATTCATTAGAAAGGGAACAATGCACGTGCAAGAAAGAGCAGGAACAATTGGAGTGATGCATAGGTGGAAGATTGGCCTTCGTTGGGACCATGGACGGTTCATCCAGAACAAAAGGAGAGCAAGTAGAGTATATGGACACAGTTGGCAGGTAAATAGGGAGATGTGGTGGTGGTGTGGTGTGTGTGTGTGGACGTTCTTGTCTTATTGTTTCCATTTTCTTAGAGAAATAGGAGCAAGATCAAGATCATCACCTGAGCAGGAGGATGAGGGAGCAGGTGCCACAGTAGTAATTAGATGGGGCTGGGGGCGGGGAGGACAGTAGTGTTGGCCCTAAACAATTACACCATTCACCTGTTCATTTAGTCATCAAAGTTTATTAAGTGCACATGTGCTGAGCACCAAGGCGCACAGCTAAAAAAAAAAACCAAAAACAAACAATTCCCACCCTTGAATAGGTCACAGTCTAATTGGGGAGACCACACAGTGTTCTGTTCTGTAGATGTAGGTAGTGGAGCTGTGGGAGTGCGGAGGAGGGACTCTTTACACTTCCCGATGGGATCGAGGCAAGAGGCAGTGGCTTTGAACTCTGAAGACACTTGGCTAGAGGAGGAGAGGAAGATGTTCTAGGAAGAGTAAATCCCTAGAGGCTTCAAGGAGCAAGTTGTGTTCAGAGAACTGCAAGTAGTTCTGCAGTAGCTTCCAAAATTCCATTCTTGCTCCCTTCACTGCAGTCTCCACGTAGCATCCAGAGTGATCTTTCCAAAAGCTTAATTTATACTTTAGATCATGGTATACTCCTGCTTACAGTCTGTCAATGGCTTTTGACTACATCAAAATAAAATTCAAACTCCTAAATATGGCGTTTCATTCTAACTCCTGCCTAAGTCTCTGACCTCCTTCTCTAGTTATCCCCTTGCTTCTCTTCCTACTCACTGAACGTCACCCTCCCCATACTCCGTGTGTCTGAAGCATAGCTTGTGGGGGCGGGAACGGTGAAGATATACAGGGATCAGGTCATGGGTAGCCCTGACTCAGTTCTCAAGAATGACAGGAGTCCCTGAAGGATCTTAGGCAGAGAGTTATATGATCATGTCTGTATTTTCAAAAGATTCCTGGGTAGCCCATTGTAGGCATGCCTGGAGGCTGGGAGGTTATCAAGGTACTCAGATGAGAAGTGGTGGAGAATGAATCCGGCCAGTGGCAGCAGGAGGGAAATGGACAGACTAGGCCATAAAGGAGATTGGATCTGAAGAAGCTGGGACCAGTTGGATTCTGGTGGTACCAATTACTCATGACCTGTAGGAAGATGAGAAATCTTAATGTTCCGGAATAGGTCAGGCATGGTGGCTCCTACCTATAATCTCAGCACTTTGGGAGGCTGAGGTCAGAGGATCACTTCAATCCAGGACTTTGAGACCAGGCTGAGCAACATAGTGAGACTCTGTCGCTACAAAAAAAAAAAAAAAAAAGAATAAATTAAAAAAAACGAGTTACAGAATGGAGGAAGAGACTCATTAGCAAGTACCCATAAGGTAAGAAGAGGAGGTAAGAAATGCTGACTTTAAGATGCTTCCTGTGATCAGTACTTTTATGCCACTTCAGATCTTTAAAACTTTGGTGAGGGAAAGCTTTTATTGCCAGTTCAGGATTTTGAAATAACAAGCCTCTCAAAAGTTACTTATTTTTTTGCTCTGTGTCATGCACTATGCTGGATGTTTCTTTTTTTTTTTTGAGACAGAGTCTCACTCTGTTGCCCTGGCTCGAGTGAGTGCCATGGCGTCAGCCTAGCTCACAGCAACCTCACACTCCTGAGCTCAAGCGATCCTCCTGCCTCAGCCTCCCGAGTAGCTGGGACTACAG